TCAAAACAACCTTTTTAACCCAGCATTTTTTAGAGTGTAGTTTTACATAATCATAAACATCTATTTGACATCTAGAAACGTCCTATAGACGTATAGCAGATGAGCAAACTCTCTAAAAAAATACCTCTTGCAGATGTAAATGCGACGTCAAATAGACTCTCCGTGATGTATGTGCTTGTCAGGGAAGTAGATGTGTTGTGGAGTTTGGCTATTAATGTGTAACATTTTAATATTCTGCTGAAATGAACAAAATGACTAGAAAAAAGATTCGTCCATCCGAGTCAGTAAAATGATCTGAGCTTCCCATCACTGTCAAGAATTGTGCTGTTATGAGTGTTTATGTATTTCTAGAGTGAATCAGCTTCTGTTGACAAAGTGATAAAGTTCTTGTCTTAATCGTGTAGGCCTGTTCGTACAGTAGCTAGTATCTCCACGGCTGTCAAAATTAAGTCAAAAGCCAGATTGAGTTAAACTATTTATTAATAACGTGGAAAACATCGTTAGATTGCATGATTATTAATTCCAAAATGAACTATTTTTAAATCGCAAGTTAACATTCGTATAACAATTTCTGAAAGTAAGGTACTTAGTGACGTCACGTCAAAGAATTGTGTGTTTGCTTCGCTCGGACTGAGAGGCGGGTGCAAGCACTTGGGGCCACGCCCACCTCTCAGCGCGTGCGGGAGCGCTCAGTGTGAAAGATGCTGCCGCTGGGTTCAGACGCGGGTCAGATGCTCGGGTGAGAGTTTATGCTCAATTCCTCTGTGTTTTCACATTTTTAGCGTCTTCAGTGTGAGTGACTCGCTCTTTTATGTTCTGATAGCTGTCCTGTGATATGGAGACCGTGGGATCTTTCAACAAGAGAGACGCAATTAAATAAAGTAACTCTTTTGAATGACTTTGCTCTCTGTATTTATCGATATGTTGATCTCAGAGTCTGAGTGTGCAGAAATTACATCTTTTGGAGAAGTTTGAACTGCTGATTTCAGCTTTTAGCCAGTGTTCTTGTGTTCTTCAGGTGGTTTCTGGAGGT